AAATATTGCAGATTTTTTTTTTTGCATCTGAAATTATATGAATATTCTATTAGCTTGATTTTCTTAACAAAAAAACTCAAAATAAATATATAAAAATTACAAGCGTAACAGTCTTTGAATGTCGCAGTAACGTTGGGATAAACGGTTCACATATTTTGCATTTAACTAAAAACGGTTCAGACACACATTAAATGAAGCTTTTACATTTGGTAGCATTGACATGGAAAAACATGAACTAATTTCCACACTTTTTGAAATTTGGATAAAAGTGAATAAAACTTGAACCATAAGTAGCTTATACAAAACAGGCCATTGTTAAGTTTTCTACTTATATTTCAGGCAGCTTGGCAATGGATGATGGAGGCCCATCTCTGCTTGATGTGATCAGGTAGACTTCCATTTATTCATTGGAAAAAAAACTTTTGTTTGGATATGGCTTTTACTGCTACGTATAGTGGGCTATAATGCCTTTTGGTTCAGGAACATGGCACATTTATCATATTGACATAGTGCATACATATTAACCACCATAACTTGACAGCTTTAGTTAGTCAAGCACGAGTAAAATTATTTGACGAAGGTATAGTGTAAAAAAAAGGGGGGGTTGTAATTTTCAAAGGATTCAAGATATTCGTTTTATGGTGCATATGATAGCTTTGTAGAATTGATATCTTTCTGTTTTTGACTTATTGTTACTTAAACAATATTTGAAAGTACTTTTATTTGTCTTATTTTAATCTAAAAAAATAATTGTAATTTAACAAAGGCAAGCTAGGACTTCAAAAAAGACCACTACATTTTGAAAAAAAAAGGAGGGGTAAAGACAATAATAAAAATTCTTTTTACTTCTGCCTAAGAGAATTAATTTGATGGTTTTAGTGCTGAATAAAAGTTTCAGGACTCCGTACGTTTTTTAGTGATATATATATGTCGAGTTACACATCATTCCTGGGACTTTAGATGTGTGTGTGTGCATACATCCACTCAAGGATGATTTTCAAGAAGCAAGGAAATTTGGATTACTTTGCCACGAAAACCTTTTAAAGTACTGAAGTTATCAGGACTTTGTAATAATATTTTGTAAATATATTTTTGGGAACTAAGCTTTTATATTGAGTTTGTTAAAAAAAAAGGTGTTGTAGTTCATTAAGAATTAGTGTTTTATATATGTTACAATTGAGTTATTGATGCAAATCATAAGGTCTTCTCAGTTGTGCTCTGTTTACTTACTGTTCTTAATATATAAAGGACTTACCACCAATTAACACTATTTAAATGTTTTGAAGCAGATGTATTTTTGAAATAATATGAAATACACTTAGTTACATTTATTGGTTATAATTTTAATAATGAATAAAGTTTATAATGGAATATCTACAAATGCAGTCTTAATCAAAATATTTTCATCTAAACATTAGGTTAAACAAAGTGATGAAAATGTACATTGATATCAACCTTATAAATAAAAAAAGAGTTTCATGGAAACTATCTACTCTTAAGCATGGAGATAGAGAGATGATAATTTGGGGCTGTTTTGATATAAATACATCGGGAATATTTACAGAATCACAGTTACAGTACGTAAATAGAATTATAGTATTCTATCAAGAAATGCCTTGCTCTCTGGTAAAGCTGGGTGATTAATCCGAATAACTGATATAATTGATTTTCTATGAGCATTGTTTACATTGATTAGTTGTCACATAAAATAATCAATTAATTGAAATTATGATTAAATTTATATCTTAAAAATAATCAACTAATCAAAATTAATGTTTCTTATTATTACTGTGTTTGTGTTTGTCCAATTATATAATCTAACCTTCATTGCTATTGAAACTTATAATTCAATTGTAAGTTCATTTTAATAACAGCTGCCAAATTTTACTGTCTTCAAAACTGTATATTGGTAGTATATGCTTCTATGGACCCTGCATAACTAGAAGACTAGCAACCTTCAAGAAATTTACATGAATATGTGATAAAATACATATTCAATCCAGTGCATGTTGTAGTCACCCATAGTTCCTTAATTTACACTATGAATAGAATTATTGTAAACTTAACAAATGAATAAAATGTAAGATATTGTCAAACCTCTAGTTTTTATGATGATGAAATGAGTGCAACTTTGCTTAAGTTTTAGTTACCAAATGATAAATTTGTACTTACAATTTAAAAGATTTGATGTATATATATATATATATATTAAACTTTCTTACATCATATGTAGTTTTTGTACTGAATAATAATGCTTTTGTGTCAGATTATAGTGAATGGAACATAATCTTGATAATTCACAGACTTATACTTTCAGTAATAGTCTAGAAGAAAGTTGTTTAGTACCCGTGTTTTGTATCCTCATTTGTAGTCTGTGTCAGATTATAGTGAATGGAACATAATCTTGATAATTCACAGACTTATACTTTCAGTAATAGTCTAGAAGAAAGTTGTTTAGTACCCGTGTTTTGTATCCTCATTTGTAGTCTGTGTCAGATTATAGTGAATGGAACATAATCTTGATAATTCACAGACTTATACTTTCAGTAATAGTCTAGAAGAAAGTTGTTTAGTACCTGTGTTTTGTATCCTCACCTGTAGTTCAGTCTTTGTTGACCCAGTTATTTTGAAATCTTGTTTTTTCACTGGTTTATTATATGATGGTACATTATGCTACATCTTTCTTTGCCTTTGCTGTTTGAATGCTCTTTAATGTACTTGAGAAGGCATCAAAGTGTAGATCAGATCTATAGGCTTCTGCATTTGGATCATTGGTATTGGTAGATTATATTCAAGCACATAAGGGTAAGAATTTGAGCCTTGAAAACAAAGTTGTCCTGTAATTTTCTTGTAGACTTGAATATGCAGACCAGTTTGACTTGTAGATATGCTTTCATAATCAAATTTCTTAGCTGCTGCCTATTTTTTTAATCTGTGTAAATCTGTAAAGGGTAAAGCAATACATATTTTTTGGATATTTTTCACTTCTCTTGTTTAGGCGTTGAAAAATAAACATAAACTCTTATGTGAATATTTTTTTGTTCTGACAGGGAAATATTTTTTTAGGTACATCTTAATATTATCTACTTCTCATTTAAATCGTTCCCAATTGCTGGTTAAGTGATGAATTCTATAGATTAAAATTTTGATTTTATTTTCTTTATAAATTTAATTGAAATGAAACTGTCCCAATCAAAATACAAGCCTTAAAAACAGATTTATGATAAACACCTACCTCAAAGTAGTATCTCTTATTTTTTGTAACTGTATCTAAGAAAGGCAGCATGTTTTTGTGTTAAGGTAGTTTAAAAACTGTGCTTCATGTTTTTAGAGTAGTTGAGTTAAGTTAGGTAAACTAATGATATTTTATGCCATTTGGATTGTCATTAATTTTATAAATTTCGTAAGATTTCTGAAACAAAAATGTAACCAAGATTATTCAAGAAAAGTATGAAAACGAAATTGGGAAACATTTTTGTAAATAAGAAAGAACATACATTAAATTGTCAGAAGCTGAATTACTAGAGGAACTTTTAAGTAATTGTGAGGGAATTCGGGTTATTCCAGAGTTTTTGTGCTTTAAAATAGCTAACTACAAATATTTAGCAAATTATAATTTTTACATAACTTGGTTGTATTTATTTGAACATTGGCCTAAGTAAGTGAAACTTTTATCCAGTTTGGTTAAAATATTTAATATATCAACTTTTATATATTAGATTTTATTATTTATAATTTAATTTTTATGATTTTTAATTTACTGTAAGGATTATATTACTCAGTACTAATTTTTATTTTATTTTTCACAATAAAGATTATTTAACATTGTTAGTTATTTTATGGATATAGAACTTTAACCATGGTGTGGTAGTACTTACTTAGACATGCCTAAATAAGTAAAACTTTTATAACAGTGCTGACACACTGTGTTGGTTAGAATATTTGATATATATATATATATATACTGTTTATTATTTCAAATTTTATTTCATTATAACAGTTATTTTGCATTGATAGCTTAGTATATTGGTTTAGGACTAGCCAAAAACTCATGAGATATTGTTGGGTTTCTAGCTGACAATATTATTAACAGTTGAGGGCACCCAAGTGATGAAACCATGCATTATAATCATTAAAAGTAATATAGTTTTAACAGTA